GTGGTGCGCTCGCAGAGAAAAAGAATGGTCGGAAGAAAGATTGATTTTATTAAGACCGCAAGGCTCTAGTATGAATATACGATGATCGGTAGCTGTAAAGAATGGGCGGGGGGAAGCGCCGAATACAAAGGAGTAGTCGGAAGAAAGATTAATCTTATTAGGACCGCAAAGCTTCGATATAAATATACGGTGATCGGTGGCTGTAAAGAATAAAGAGGGGGAGAAGGAGGGTTAAGCTCGCCGAGTATAAAAAAGGTGATCGGGAATTAGATTTGAATTATTTTTTTGAAAAGGTTTAAGGATATTTAAAAACTGCGAATAAAGATACGGTTCTTTAACGATAAGTTGCAAGTAGCGGGTACCGTGTAGCGAGCGGGTGCGGCGATTTAACAAGACATCGTTATTTGTTTAACGAAAAGCATTACCCGAGCCTTCATGATATCTAGTGACGGTATTATAAAATTAAGACGCGTGCACGTAAAAACGCCTTAATCAAGGCTATAACCTATCAAGTTTGGATATTCCGATTGCATTGCGGAAGGAAAGACTGCACAGGAGCCGTTCTTTTAATTGTTTACTTCTTCGCTAGGCTAGTGCCAGGTTTCTGGCTACGGACTATCTCCCCCCCTCCCCCCAACCCCGAAATTGCTATAGCCTGAGGGTGCCTCACAAGTTTAAATCTACACTTTAAAGCTCTTGATTACCTTACCTTCAAGGTGTAACACGTACGCTTGTGACGTTGTACCACGGTACAGGCCTAAGTATTACCCCTCGAGGGTAAGGCAACCAGGGGGTTTAAAATGGAAACTAAACTTTTGAAGCATCCTCGAGGGGTAATACTTGGGCCTGTACCGTGGTACGTGCTAATTATGTACTACTATCTTATTCTAACATGATTAAAGGTCTAAAGGCTGGAAACTGGTTGAGGAACCGAACGTCGGGATATTGATGATCGTACAGATAGCAGAGAGATTAGCTAAAGAACTAAGAGAAGAAAATTGGCTGAACGATGGCTAAATAATTGACTCGAGAAAATAAGCCGAAGAAGATGAGCGGAACAATTGGCTAGGGAATTGAAAAGTGAGAGATCAGAATTGTCAAAGTAATTCTGCAATAAGCTCGTGGCGTCTCATTCTACTACGGTTGTCCTACTTTATTGCGGTCGTCTTACTTCGCTGCGGTCGTCCAACTGTAAGGTGTGTCGTTGAAGCCAGCTTTTATAAATCGAATTTATTCCTTTCGCAGTATAAGCAATCCGCGCTAGTCTTGAAGAGTAGGACAGATTCCGAAGCTAGAGGAAAACGGGGTGTAGTTTGTATTGGATCGCCGGTAGCGAACGTTCGTGACTTCGTATCACTAGCGTGCAGCACACGTAGCTTCTTGCAATTGCAAAATAATAGATAAAAATGGGAATTGATTTCTGTATGTCCCCCAAGGTTCAAAGGAGCTGACTCTTTCTATACGATTAGACGGAGTTACGTGCACTAGCTATATAATAGTGTTTACATCGAAGTTGGGGTTTCTTTAAGGGCCACGCTAAGCGAGGCATGCTCATCCGTGCTTGAGGTGAGCGAGACGGCCATTTCCTTCTTAACTACGTCGGGGCGATATTAATGTACCGATAGTTTGAAGCTAGCAAAGATAGGGCCGCTTTGTGTTAGAAGAGAGGCGTGAGATGCCGGAGCTAGCGGAAGATTTAAGAAGGTGTGTTTTAAGGCTGGCAGATAGGTATAAGAGTCCGAAGCTTGCGGAGAGATTCAAGAAGTGATTTTTAAGACTAGAAAGGTATAAGAGTCCGAGGCTAGCAGAAAGATTAAGGAGGTATATTTTCAGGCTGGCAGAGGG